CTTCGCTGACCAGACAAGCCATCTGACTTAACCTCAAGCGAAAAGCGTGAACCATTATTTCACGGAATTTGCATTTTGAGTTAGGGACTTGGAGTTATACGTACCCTGTCGATGTAGAACTGGTCCTTGCCTTCGAAGGCGTCGTTCACCTTGCGTAGCAGCGTCCTGTAGCTCGGGTAGTCAGGGGTTACGACACTGGAGTCACGAGAGTTACGCTGGATCGTGGTCTTGCCGGCTTGGACTGCAACAGGACCGGAGTTGGTTAGTTCAGAGAATCTGCCCTTCGAAGTAGCCCCCAACAACGGTCAGGTTAGGTTAGGTTTTACTATAAGTTCTGACATAAACTGGGGAACAGGATAAATGCATGCAGAATTCCAGTTGGAGAACCTGAGAGCAAGAGCCACTTTGTAGACCTAAGCGTAGAAGGGAGGATAAAATTAAAAAGAATCTTTTAAAGTGTACAGTAGTGTGTTGTGTGATGATTCAGAATTTCGGAATGATATGACGAAAATTACGAAACCTTAAAAGAGAAAAAACAAACACCCTGTTTACCTGGCTGAGATTCGGGCTGAATATATTTGTAGCCACGATAACTAAGTCTGCAAAGTTGTTTATTTTTCCCACCGTTGTGTCCAGATAAGATTTTGGTCCCATACCAGACGCCTCTACGATGGCTAACGGAGAAATCGTGAAACTGAGCACTCTCTCACGATTAAAAAAGGTTTTAGCTTTGATTTTACTATCCTCTAACGCTTCTGTGGCGAGGTTCTTAAACACGCGGTCGATGTCTTTCTCCTGAACAACGACGCTGTCGCATTACGTGGTTCGACTCTTACTTTTGTGTGTGAAGCGGTCGATCTCGACGAAGTAGTGCCTTCGGTCGTTAATGTTGTACTCTCGGCCCAGGTAGTCGTACTTGGGTCCCAGGAACACGCGGACGTACGCGTCGGTCGCTTTGTCACTGACCACGTTAATGCCGTAGGTGAAGGGCTTGTGGTTTAGACGTGTCTGGCGTGCGCGGTAGTCGACGTACAGACCGTCCTCGGGCGTCTTCACGCTCACCACGTTGTCAAGGTCGATGTCGAAATAGTCGAGGAACGTGATCAGCTTGCCGACTTCAACGTTCTCGATTTTAATGTTGGCGTCTGGGAAAGTGAGCTGGAAACAAAGAAGACTGAGGATTTAACGCGGAGTAACTGAGAGTAACTCTTAATTTTACTTTTCGGAAATCAGGCGTGTTCCACAAGATCAAAGAATCCTTTATTTTCTAATTTATTGAAACTGCTGAAATGTTTTAATGCTTACCTCCTCGTGTGTGTATCGGGGAAGATAGTTCTTGTACCTCTGGAACAGGTAGTTAATTCGCTTAAGAATCTGGTAGTTGGCGGGGTCGCGTAGAGCTGTGAAGATATTTTGCAGTGCGCTGGGAGCGAGCTGCGAAGATACGTAGAAAAAAGTTACATTGGGTGTTGACACATTCAGAGGATTATTTATAAGCGCGGTGTTCCAGGCTTGCCAGTTATAAATTTAAAATGTTCCAGATCCCCGACAAAGGTAGTTTATACCCCAAGACGTTAACATAGAACCGTCTTTCCCCCCGTATCGGAATGAAAAAGCCCTCCTGCTAGACCTAATAACCTGTGACGCACAGATATTTTAAGGCGTGCTTTTGATACTCACTCCGATGTTGTTGTA